TTTAACCCAAAAGAACCTTTGCTGCCTATATGCAGCCAAGGGCTGTTTCAGATCTAGGACTACGGCCCCAAAGTTGTGCCAGCTCTGTGCTTGGCGGCTAGTGGAGACTGATGTGGATCCAAAGGAAACTCTGTCGGTGGCTATTGACAGCGAGGAGCTCCTCTTTTGCAGCTGGCACCAAGAAGACAAGCAAGATGAATGGAGAATTAAAAATATTCCAAAAGTTTCATTAGATACAGACCGTCTCCTCAAGGAAGCTAGTGAGGGTGAAGAGCTCTAATTTAGTAGACTCAGAGCTTCACAGTTGAGAATGATCATTAAATAAAATCAGTGCAATGAAGAGGCACAGTGCTTTTCATTAGGAATTTGCCTCTGAGTCGTGGCTGGGGATTTCACATCCTCCCTCCTTTCTTCCCCAGCACCATCAGTTGAATGGCTGCCTGTACCCCATGGCAGAACAAGTGCAGTTAACTTCTTTTCCTGGTACCAGGTGCAATCCCAGCAGTGCTGCAAACCCTCCTTGGTTTCTCTCTCACATCTGTCACTTTGCTCATGGGGTTCTTCCCCTGGGGCAATTTTAATATCATATTTCTAATAGGTAGTGTCAGATTTGATCTCACAGATTTTGATTAATTTGCCACTCTTTTCCAAACTCCTGTACCCTTCCCCCATGGATGGATGAAGGCTACACCTCACCTCTATTGATTAGATATTGATATCTGTATCTTTAAGGTACCACGATGTGCCATATATGTACCAGAGCAAGCACTGTTCGGATAGGTGAATCACAAAAGTTGTAGTGCTTTGCTGGGGTTTCCAAATGCAAAAGGGTTTTCTTTGCCCAGCAGGTACAGGAGTTTCTCATGAGTCAATTGATCAGTGTATCTTAGGAGCTTGCTAGATCTTGAAAAACTCCTATTTCTGAAGTTGTTTAGTTGTTCAGACGAGTGTGTTTTGTGTCCTCTTCCAACTGTTGATAATTCCTGGGTGGAGGAGAACTTGCCCTTACTGGTGAAATCAGGAAAAACATTTTCTTACTCTGTATGTAGGATAGGAAATTGAAAGTATCAATCTAAATCTGCTGCCCTTGTTTCTCAGATTGCACGTGAGAAGGAAGTTAGTTCTTTCTTCTTAAAGAGAAGATGGAAATGGTCAATGACCTGTCTCCATGTGGAAATCAAGGGGAAGCTGGTCATTCAGAGATGGGAAGAGTGGTGCTATGCATACCACTTCATGGCAGAGTGTCACTCTTAGAGAGTCATAAGATTTCCATCAAGTGCCAAACAGCTACATTTGCCAGTCTTTCCCCAAAAACAATTGCTGGAGCAGAGCAGGAGAAAGGCAGTGGTTTAGGACTGAGAGGTATTGTTATAAACCTATCTATCTACTTTATTTTTATGAACAATATGTTGCCCATTATGTAATGATCTTCAAACCACCCACCTTTCTCGCCATGGGAGAAAACAGTAGGGGAAAAAAGCCAAGAGTCAATTTCTCCCCTGTTCCACTGATGAATTTACAGTCCTTTTTGTCATTACACTTGAGCAAGTCACTTGTGTGGTTTTAGGCCCGCTCATGCCTTTCAGCTCTTTGACTTACAGATGGCCTGTCACTTGATCAGCTTGTATTTTGGTGCAGGGCACATGGACCAGATGCAGTATTGATGGCAGAAGGCAACCGTCCTGCCGAGCTGACCCAATCCCAGATGCTCCACATTGCCCAGCAGATTGCTGCTGGTATGGTTTACTTGGCCTCACAGCACTTTGTGCATCGGGATCTTGCTACCCGGAATTGCCTGGTTGGTGAGAACCTGCTGGTAAAGATCGGAGATTTTGGGATGTCTAGAGATGTGTACAGCACAGACTACTATAGGGTAAGTAAGTGAACTGCTATAATCAGTAATAACTGACGTCTTGTTCACCTTACCACACTGATCTGACTGATGCTACTTTTATAAAGATTCGTCTGTCTGTCAGGTGATTTACAGGGCAGCATGTGGAGAAGCTGGTTTTGAGTTGTAAAGTTTTGGTAAATTTGGAGAGAATTGATAAGATTGGCCTGTTGTTTATATATGTTGGTTTTATTATCTAATAATAAATCATAGAAAGGTCCTTTTCTGTGGTCAAAAATTTGGCATATTTGCTTGGCTTTTGTGAAGAAGAAGCAGATAAAAAGGAAGAGTGGGCGATCACATTTGGCCAAACAGTCAGGAGTTATTAAAATACGATCTTATACATTTCTAAGACAAATGATAACTTTCATGAATTGTATATTTCAGTTTACTTGAGTAGATGTAAGTGATGGACAGCACCACTGGACCAAAGAGCTCTTTTGCTTAGGGAGACACTAATGCAGAAATGATTATATGTTCAGCACTTTAAAAGTTGACAGCAAGTATTTCCTGCCTTAAGCCAGTTCTTCAGTCTTAGTGTTTATGGTTGATCTGTTGTTTCATGTCACTCTGGTGAGGGCTGTAACTCAGTGGTGGGTAAGGGTAACCCATGGCACATGTTCACAGCCTGGCCCAGGCCTTTGTTCCTGAGCTCAGTTGCCATAAAATAATCTGTGAAGTTTGTCGGTCTTCTAGAATCGCTAGTATAAGCATCTGTTCACTGATATTGTTGTTGATGTTGGCTTTGTACTATGTGGCAAGTCATGTAGTTGACAGCATTGGTGTTCCTTACCACATGTGTAACTTAATGTGTGGAGCTGGACTATGAGGCTTTTGCTGAAGACAATCCACGGCCAAGCTGTTAGTTTATAAATGCTAGAGTTGTATCCTCTAACGTGAGCTACTCAGCATCATTGAGCTCCTTCTCTGTACCTGCCTCCCATATCACTTGCTGCCCGTATATTCCTTGTAGATAAAATGAAGGCCTCTTCCTTACCCACCTTAATGGGGCTGCTGTGTCCACAAAAAGGACAGTATCACTTCTGCAACAGTGTTTGTAGGATACCTGAGAAGAGATTGCCATTATGTCTGGCTGAGGCTGGACAGGGCAGAGGAAGCTATACACAGGAATTATTGTAGAGCATTGTTTCTCTTAACAGCTGAGAAGTTTGTCACAGCTGAGAAGTCTCTGCTGTTCTCTCCTTTGTTCTTTGTCTTTTTGATCAAAAAGCAAACATACCTGAGTATTTAGTAAACATACAAACTAGATTCCTCTATATTTTGTTATTTTGGAAATTTGGCACTTCAGGCTATCTGATCAATGTAAAACGGGTGTGACTTCATTTCAGTACTTGGTAAAATATACAAAGTAGTAATCACTGGCTATATTTGTGTTTGAGAAGATACCAGTGAGCACTAAGGGCCAAGGTTTCTTGATTTTGCTTCTGAAATATGAGCAATACTTGTTGGGACTGGAGGCACGTATCTGTTCTGTATTTCAGTAGGAATGGGTTTATTTACCATGTTTGTCATTACACTTCAGAATGAATGTTCATGCTTAGTAGTGAATGTTTGCAAAGGCCTTGACAATCAAAGGCGTTTTTGAACGATGAATGTACTTATTTTTGGACAAAATGAGTGACTCCTTGCTACAGAAAAACTAGAGATAAAAAGGGATGGTAGCTAGCTAATCCTATGAACTTTCTGGGGAAAACGGAGACGTGGCACAAGCATGGGGTACTGTACTGACTCTAGTGTTATCTCACCTGCTCATGTTCCTCTTGGTTTAATGCCTGAGTCTTGCACATGAGCACACAAGCAAAGCAAAAACCAATGAAGTGGGAGTTTAGAACAAGGCCAAGATTTTGTCCTGCCTGACCGGTGCCCTGGAGAAAGCAGGTATTCACCAGGTAACTTGGCGGGGGTGGGGGTGGGGGGTCTTTGGGTGCCTCTCAAAACCCTTCATTCAAGTAATACATTGCATTTCTCATGTGTCCTCTCTGACTCCCTCCCATCAATGTTCATTCCTGTTCCCACATCTGTCGTTGCCTTTCTTCTTCTCTCCCTCTGTCTCATTTTGTCCTTTCTCATTCAGAGGCCAAAGGAGAATGGGTGAGGTCCAGGAAATAAGAAAAGAAAAGAGATATGGAGAAGGAAAGGGACAGTATGAATAGTGAAGAGGGTGCAATAATGGTTGTGAGAGAGGGAATGAATAAGGTAGGAAGGGAAAGTGGAGAGAGGTGTTAGTGAAAGAAAGTGCGTAAAGGGAGAAATAGGTAGACAAGTGTCAAAGGGGGTGAATGACAGTGTAAAGCAGCATGTCTCCATCCAAGCTGATGGTGAGATGGGGTAGCTTGCAGTCTGATCCATGGATTTGAAACTTCAGTTTGGTCAGTCGCTTGTTCCACACAGTGATAAAACCGGGAAGGACCATTTCTCCAACAGGCTTCTGGCTGGTGCAGAGTTGGGATAGAGCCACAGCCTGCCTTGCAGCCATCCTCCGCACTGATAAATGCTGGAAGCTACAGTTGAGCCTGTGAGATTTTGGCCTGCCCTCTGGGCCATATGTGGGCTAGTCAGAAGCTGGTCATGAAACAGTCAAGGCTATGATGACTTGCCAGCTGGTTGCCTGGAGAATTATGTCCATGGCAGGCCTGAGTAATGAAACTGTCAGCAACGACACTGAGATGGCTGTGACCTAACATACCTAATTGTTTATAGCAGGGTAAGTCTTTTTAACTGTTCAGGCTTAATCACCTACATGGAAGCAATTCGTCCCCAACCCTGACAGCTTTATCTCATGTTCATTGGGAGGATTTATACAGCTCCAAAGCGGTCTGCAAGAAATGGCATGGTAGTTGTGTTTATTAATACACTGGAACCAGATTCCTGAGATACTATTGCCCTGTCAGGACGTTAGATTTGCCCAAGATGATTATTTATAGTTTGTTGCTGTAAAATAAGGATGATCCTTGGTCCTTGTTCACTGTTAGATTGTTAATGACATTCTGCATTGAATCAGCTCAGTTGTTAAGAGATGCTTCAGGAAAGTTTTTTGTGGGAAAGAAATGACCTTTGGGTTGGGAATATATGTATGTGATGCGTGGCCCTGGTTGCACAAGCTTTCCTTTTTTTCTTCCATTCTTTTTTCCTCTCTTCTTCATCAGACAGGAAAAGGGGGAGGGGGAAGATCTGGTTTACATGCTAACATTTAATGAAACAGCGGTCGTTTTCAAAACTCAGACCAAATGAGCCTGAGGACATGAAGAAATTGCAGTGACTTTTCTTACCAGTGCTGCCATCCACCCCAGGCCAAACTAAAAGAACTGGCAAATAATTAGTTTGTTCCCTGTGCCAAGCAGCTCTGCCGACACTGCTGCACCGCAGTCCTTGTAGAGCAATAGATCTTTTCACATAGTTATTTACTTGCAGAGCTTAGATTTCAAGTTCATTAGGGACCCTTCTGGGTTTTTTTTGTTTGGATTGCCATCCCTCAAGAGTTAGAGGTTTCCCATTTGATGCCCAAATAACATGACTCATCTGCAGCATTCAGTGGCTTAAAGTATTGACACTGAAGCATGGAAACAACGGCTTTGCTAATATTTGTTTCTGTACTCAAAGGCACTATTTCAGACCGTTTTCAGGCTTACAATTCAAGTTTGCAAGTGCTTGCTTAGTATCTGTCCTTAAAATATGTTTCTGTGTTTCTTTATCATAAGTACAAAGCTAAAAAAAATAAAAGGAAGGTCAGCTCACCCCAGTACTCAGAAAAACTGAAGAGGGATATGCTTTAAATATACAGCCTCGTCAGACAGCTGCAGACTTGAGCCAAGATTTTGGATGAAATTGTGATCTCATTGGAGTAAGCAAGAGCTTTGCCATTAACTTCATTAGGACCAGAATTCACCGTTCCACTTTTTCTTATGTCTGTCCAGTGCGACATAGAGACTCTGTTTCTGATTTAGATTTATGGAGCTAAGTTGTGTAATCCTTATTTAGCTATTGTATAACTTATTTGCCTTTATGCAACAGCGCAAGGAACAGTGCAGGAAATAAGGACTCTTTGCCTCTGCTTGTACAAACCATGCGCGGATCTATCTGAAGCCTGGGGCTATTAAGTGGGTTTCCATCTTTCTTTAGGGCCAGCTCACCTTGAAGGGATGGGGAGGTTTAGAAACTATGTCACAAATTGGTTTCCTCCACTTTTGGCACAGATGGGGTGAAAGGACCCCAGGGGATGTGGTTCTGTCCAGTGACCTGGTTTTTCTTTTTATCTGTCTCCTGCATATCTTGCACCATGTTCGTCATTCTTCTGCTATTCAAAGAGAGCAAAGGATGTAGGATTGGAGGAGGATGCATAGGTTACGCTGGGGTGACATTGGCTTTCTTCCAGTATACAAAACACCAAAAGCCATAAAAACTAGTCTGCCATGGGAAAAGAGAAATTAAAGGCATCACCAATATCTTAGACCCCTACAAAAGAACCATGTTTGGCAAAAATATCTGAGAGACCCTAGGAAGTCAGTCGTACCTCATACAACAGGAGGTGACAACAGTCCCTGTCAGTGTTTTTTAGTGAGACTTTCTGACCTGGCAAGCAGCGAGTGCACACAGCCAGCTGCATGAGCCTGGCGTTACTGGGGTTTCTTGATGCCCCTTGGAGCACATCTGGCCTGACTTCCTGCTTCTGACAGTTGCTTGTCCTCAGTGTCTCAGGGAAGTGTGGGATAGAACCTAAACCAGGGCCAAATTATACAGCAAGAGGCAAAAAAAAAATGCTGGTGACCAACAGAAGCCCTCAAGAAAGAAATCAATTGAATAAATAAGTATGGTGCCACCAACAAAACACTGACATGCCTCTTTTCAAATGTCTCTCATGTGTGGCACAAAATTGAATGGCAGAAGTCTCTGAACCTTAAATTTCTAATTCCTAGATTCCTCCTACCGTGGCATAAAGCCCCTTCAACTCATTTACCAAAGTGAATGTAGCAAATAAATAGGGTCCTAATGCTAAGGCCTTGCCTGCAAGGCTGCCGCAACCTCTCTCTCCTCCTGATTGGAGACCTTCATATTAATTCATAGCCTAAATTAACTCCTGACCAGTTCACACCCACTTGATCCCATTATCCTCCACCAGAACCTTTCTTCTCCCTTCCTTGTGTTAACATCTCAAACATATTTAGAAAGAATAATCCTGTCCTCTGCCAGTCTCCGTTTCAGAGGGTTAAACAAGCCTTTCAGGAGAAAAGGTGCTCCATTTTCCTTCCCATCGTAGCAGGCTTCTCTACACGTCTTTCAGTTTAAATGTCTCTTTCTGGTACAGAAACCATTAGAACTGTGAGCAGGATTTTGCAAATGCAATTTTACCCATTCGTAGATCAGAGGTACTTCCCTGCCTCTAATGAAAACATGCTGCCTAAGACATCCTACACTTAAAGTAGCCTGTGTCATTCTGGCACATCGTCACTGCGTTGTCAAAGAGCGCCCTGGACCACTTTCATCTTCTACTACTTCCAAAGAAGAGCATCCCCTTACTGAAGGTTTTCATTTCAGTCCCTAAGTGAATGACTTTGCAGTTCCTACTGGCACATTTTGTACCTCTAGTGGTTGCAAAAGACCATTGTCTCTTTTATTTTTAACTTTTTCCTTTTTAATTAAAATTCAGGTCTTGTCTAATTTGGCAGTGAGTGAAGATCTAAAGAAACAGCATCATGGGACTAAAAAATAAAAAGCTGAGGGAGTGAGGAAGATTTGTAAATAAGTTTCCTAGGTTTTTTAGGCTTTGTTTGTTTGTTTCATGTTTTATTGAAATAAGTATTTTGGAAAAGGATATCTTTTTGAAATATATAGTTCCCATGCACTTTCAGTTAAGATGTGAGAAGTTATTACGCTTTTGAGCCTCCCAGAAAGACTTCCAGAAAATATAGGGATTACAGAATTTGATATCCCAAGCCAATTCTAAAAATACCCGGCTTTGTGGTCTTCTTTCTACATAATAAGAGCAAAATCCCTTTCCAGAAACCATTTTGACCCTGGAAGTATTACAGTTCTTGGGAAGCAGGCCAGATTCTGATCTCCGCTGTTGCTCAGTAAATCTAGAGTAGCAGCCCTGAAGACAGTGAAAAAACACTGGTATTAGAGTAGTCAAATGGCAAAGAGCGTCTGGCCCACTAAGTACAGTTCTTTCTTCACGTATGAGCCTAATACCTAATATTATACAGTGCTGTATTTCTGGCAGCAGCATAATATATGTTTTCTGGTGACTATATATGAAACGTTTGCTAAAAGATAATACTAGTAAAATAATCACCAGAGTGATCTCACTAAAGCTATTTCCAGTACCAAGTGCCTGTTTGCAAAGTGAATTAATGCATGACAGCAAAGGACTAAAAAAAGAAAAGCCTGATTTTCTTTTTCTTTTTTTCATTATTTGGGCTGTAGCTAGCCAGGCAAGCACCACGGTACAAATGTTTACAGCGAGGAACAAGCGTCTGTCTATTCAGAAAGGGCAAAAGCGACCAACACCCGCAGGTCTCAGCTGTCACTATAAAGCCGAATACCTATGTGGGGGAGTCTGGTGGAGGCTGCGCGCAAGAAAACAAGGAGTTGCTGAGAAGTCAAGCAGCTTGTCAAGGCATCCTCGTAGGTGTGTGTATTGAATTGTCACAGTTTGAAGGCACAGTTTGAAGGCTTTTTATTAGCTGCTATTTTTGCATCCATTGCTCAAAGGAAACTATCTGCTTCCCTACATGGACTTTGTGGCTCTCCTCCTCCGTCAGAGGCTCATTGCATCATGTGCAGTGATGGGGAGGACGGCGGGTGCCAGCAGCCCCGGAGTACGTGTGCAGATGATTTCATGCAACTGGAAACAATACAGGAAATAACAGGCCGGCAACATAGATGCAAGCTGGAAGTAGCTCCCTTTAAGTCAGTGCAATTACTGTGAGCTTATAGCAACGTAATCATGAGCAGAATTAGGCCTCCTGATTTTAGAGGGCTCTTATGAGCCTCCTAAAAGCCTCCACTGTGACAGTGGTTAGAAGCTTGCATACACCAGGACAGAGCATTATCCTGGTGCTAAATGATTAAAAATATGGCTTGATGCCTGTTACTACTAGTGCATGCCAGAGTACATTTTGTTGTGTGCAGGAAACATGCTCTTTCCCCAGCTAATCCCTGATTCTTAATGTTTTCTCTTGGATCCCAGTTTTCTGACCTGCTCAACCCTACACAGAGAGGCCAAATTCAGCTTTGGCTCAAGCAAGTATAGTTCCATCATTTTTTAATGTGGCTATAGATGCAGTCACTTTTCAAGTGGAGTTTTCTCATCATCTTCACATCAGGGTCAGTGGTCTTGCTCATAGTTCTGTTTCCATCTGTTTTCACTGACACTGCTCTTAAGAGGAGAGTCCAAGAAAGTTTTCCGTATTACTGCTAGGAAAAGGAGCATCAGATGTCCAGCATCTGTAGTGGGTTGCATTTAACAGTGACTTATTACTGAACTCTGTCTTGCTGGGTTAACAGGACAGTAACAGAAAAAACTAGATCTTCAGCTGGGAAGTTGCAACATACTTTGTTTTGCCACATTTTAAGTCCCTGTTCACATGAAACATGTTCAAGTGTGAAACCAGGTCCAGTGCTCCTGAAGCACATTCTGCTTCAGTCTGTGAAGTCAAAGCGTGGAAAGGGCAGACAAGGAAAGGACAGTGACTACGATGAAAAGCTGATTAAAAAGGGCAGAGAAGATCTAGCGCACAGTGGACTTGCTTCTGTGAGCAGTTACTTGAGTATCCATTGAATCTGAGTATCTACTTAGTCCATTGGAAAACTCCCCCCCCACTAGATTTATACCAGCATGGTTCTCATGTAGGATATCAAGAGATTGACACTAGAAACTAGTTTGTTTTGAGGAAAGAAGTTCAGCCAGGAAGCAGCACCCAGAAAAGGTGCCAGGAAATGCAGACATTCCTGTTGACCCACGCTATAGCTAAAAGGTCTGAATATATTCCAATCAACAGCTTAATCAAAATGTTTGGGATTTTTCAAATGGAAATTTTCCCACTGCGTTCTTCTGTTAAAAGCTTTGATAATTTACTATTTTTTGGCCCCACCTTGATTATAAAATGAATGCTACAGTTTTTCAATTGGATGGAAATTGTGTTTATGACCACCTGGGGTTTTTTCAAAACATTTTAATGCTGTGGATTTCAGGAGGGTTAATCCTAGTGTATGGAGTAGGTGAGAGCCTTAGTTTCCATGTGTGTGCCTGCAGAATACCAGGAAGTTTACACAGTCAGCATCACCCGCAGCTGACACAAGCTTTTCTGTTGAGGGGCTCTTAGTACAGATGTTCATTAACTTTAAAAAGTCTTTTAAAAATGATATATACAAAACTGAATCATTCTTAAAAATAACCACACATATGGATGTAGATTGCAGAAAAGCAATGATTCACATACTAAATTAGTTTTACAAACCAAAATTTGGAGAGTTTTGCTGGACTCCAATTGCAAAGTCAGCTCATTGCGTGTAAGTAGCAGCCCAGCCCTGCAAAGCCCTCTTTGCAGGTGCTGAATTGCCTTGACTGCTGCTCAACTATTCAGCACATAGCAGGGCCATTTTCTCAATCTCAGTTATGTGCATAAAGTTGCTGGATTGCACTTTGAAAATGGGTGGCAGCTTCTTCCTCTGGCTTCACTAGAGCCAATGTTTTGTCTGAGGCTTTAGAAAGTGAGTTTACAGGCAACACTTTCTACAGACAGGGCATAGAACAGCAACAGAAATGATGACGTGATTTCTGTACTTCTGCTTCTTGGGCCAAGTCCTTGTGCAAACCAGTAATGTCATTTTGCAGTTGTGGGGAGAAACCATGAGTAACTATCTGGAAAGAGAGATACTGGACTGTAGTGCCACAGACCTTTGCTTTTTGCAGGAAATCTGCAAAGTAAATGACAGAACTCCAAGGGTTAGTAGCTGAAGCTTCTGACTTTGTGTTGTGATGCGGACAGTGTGAAGAAAAAAAGATGTGGGAACAAAAAAATCTCCGGGAGCGCTGTGAGTGCAGTCAAGCGCTGTGAGTGCAGTCAGAAACCGAAGCAGCAGTGTCTGGTCGCTGCGGAGCACTAGGGCACCTTGTGCGGCTGCATCACTTCCCCTAGGGGCATGGGGACTGCAAAGAAAGGCCACCCAGCCAGAACAGGAGCCAAGGGAGGTCTCCTCTGAGGAGTGGTCACTGAATCAGCTCCCCACAGGGTCTCTGCAGGCTTCCAGCTGGAGAGTTTTCTTATGCAAATAGCCTTTCTCCTTGCAATAAGGAAAGTAGTTGCTAGGCAGTTTTCCTAAACATGCATTTTTTTCCTGAATTTGAAGGACAATGGATGCTATTTTTGCTCACAGGACTCAGGAAGCATGGAAAGGAACAGAAATGATTAAACTGAAATACTGCATATAGCAGGATGGATAGAGAAGATGGGGGCACAATGTCAGCTATTACTAGAGTGGAGCCTGAAAATCTGCCTGGTAGTTTGGTACATGTGTAGAAAAGAGCTTGCAAATGGTGAGTGAAGACAGGGAGGAAGGGAAGCAGTGCATTATTCTTTTAATCACTTACATCTTCACTGCTTTACCTGTCCATCACCTGTCTGAAGGAGCACAGGCGCTGATCAGGTGTGGGCATGGGCCAGGCAGTTTGCATGTGCCCACCTCGATATGGAGGCGAAGAGCTGTCATTAGTAGGGACTTAGGCCAACCTGAGCCAGTTGGCCTCAGTGCCAGAGAGCAATCCCAAAATGGTTTAGGTTGCTTATATAGCTGTAACTCATATGCCTCTGTGAAGCTTTTTCCATATTAGAAATCATGAAGTTCGTGACAAGCTGTCAGGACTTGTCTCCAAGCTTGCCAAATTCTGAGGACCCCAGAAGTCAGATAATTTAGCATCTTGCAGGCTCAGGAACTTGACACTTACACTTCAGAGATAACTTGGCCTTGCATTAATCTAGTCTTATATAAAATGGAGCAGAAACTTCATCTACGAACTGCTGAGTCAAGCTATTAGCTATGGCATAACTTTTAGAAGGAGATGAAGGCCTGATTTAAGGAGAATAAGTGAATACGTATCTGATATAAAGAATAGATAAAAAATTTAGAAAAGCTCATGGTCACTCAGACGTTTCTATCTCCATCAGACGGGTAAACAAATCTGCAGAGAAAAGCCACATGAGTGGGAAGTAACATCCTTTTTTCTAATGCAGAGAAATGCTTTCAAGAAACATATATAGCTTCATACCTTTGAGTTTACTTTTAGAAGCTACTTTGTATTTGCCCCTTAACAGCATCCTTTGCAAGGCTGTCCGCCTCTTGAGATTTTGAAGAGTCTGCATTAAATCTGATTTACAGTCAGTTCGTACCCATCTTCTCCACTTCATCTCATCCTTGGCTTGATATTGCAACAGTGATGTCGTGTGTCTTTGGTTTGGGAGAAGTGTCAGACCCATTGAAACGTTCAGCTGAGAGGTGTTCACCTGAGAGATGATGCAAATGAAGTTTTGAAAACTCTTTCCTTACTTAATCTTGTGTCGTTGCATTGTTCTCTGGTGAGACATTAAAGTTATCTTTCCCGTTTTCAGGCTGTTCCCCCAGGTGTATTTATGTTGGTCAAAAGTTTAACATGCTGACTAGATTAATCTTATTTTAAAGCTATGGAAGCATAACTCTGGCCAAGTTATGTTTACTCTCTTTGCTGAGCAATGTAGTTAGCTTTTAAATTGTATTTTAACTCTTGATTTGACCTGGAATAATCATGGTTTTAATTTGCTGTGGCATTTTTTTTCTTTGTGATAACTGTGAGGAAAAGACTGAGTGTTGTTTTGTTCATGGAGCTACTTTCCTGTATGGATCATGTGACCAGGAACACTACAAAATTGGTTGAAACTGATCCAAATGGGTAGCAAACCATAGGAAAACAGAATGGGTTTTGAGATTAATTGTATTTCTGAGTTTACCTAAATGACCTGTTCAGAAGTGGGTCAGAAGGAACAGTAATGTGGTATGCCCCATTTACAGAGGCAACTAATGGATGGTCAACAAGTACTTTTAGGCATCTGTATCCTTGCTGATAGACATGGGTCAAAACCACGTTCAGCACCATTTCAGAAGAACATGTGCTACCAATTTTTTTCAGTCCAGGAGTGCTGCAACATTGCTAGCTCTAATTATTAAAACAAATGTTTAATTGAATTGCTTCCCCACCCCCCAGCTCATGAGAGCAGCTTAAATTGTTATGCTTAAACAAACAAACAAATGCTGGATTCTGTCCCGGGCCCTTTTGCTAAGGGTAGGTTTGTTTGTGTATGAGAAATACATTGGAGCAAGATGTATGTATTCAGGAAAGTAAAGCGCTGTTCATGCAAAAGTCATTATTTGCTCAGAAAGAAATGGGTATGAATTGGCAAGAATAAATTGAGAGGGCAAGCGAGAATTTTCTAAGTATGAGAAGTCTGGAAGGGCCCTTCCAGCAGGAGCAACAATGAGCACAGAAAAGCCCAGCTATTTCTAAGCTGGAGATGGATGCATTTCTGAAGGAACTTAGAAGGCAGTTACTCGTGATACCTGTGATACCATGGCCCATCAAACCCTACTTCAGTCTTGCGTACTTACTGCATTGCTGTGTTCAAGCTTTTTCCCACAACTGTGAGGGCTAGAAGTGTACATTTTTAAGTTAATGTCATTTCAAATGTTCAAGTAATCACATGATTACTTGAGCTGGGGCTTTAAGGAAAAGCAATAGTGCAAGGCTTTTGGTAATAGACCGAAAGACTGTAAATCTACAAAAAATAATGAGTCTCTATAATGAAGGAGTACATACTGAAAATGAAAAACATAAAAAGCCATTTGGAGATAAGGGAACCATGAGACTGAGATACTTTAAACCACAAAATACTATTTTTGTCTTTTACTATTGAAAATGAGTATGATCTAAGCAGTTAACCCTTACAGTTTTTGCAGAAGACAGAAAGGCTGTCATATATATTCATAGACTGAAAGCTTATCCAGCTTCAGATCAACAGGGAAACTAGAACTGACATCACTGGGGACAGGATTTCAACCTTTATCCTTAGTAATTACTAATTTTAGTGGCATTATGTCTGTCTTCACTTGTATGTTCATAGCTGTATCTAAAGGGGAAAAAACATCACATCCGCCTGGATCCAGTCCTTGCACGGCGAGTCCTACACACTCATGCAGAGCCATGGGAATGATA